TGATTCCCAGAGGTCAAGATTTTTGTTTGTCAAAGCCACAAGTTGTCCTTTGCCACTTCTGTGTCACACACTGGTTATAGCACCATCCATGCCTATCTCTAATAGAAATGTCTCCAGCTTCCTGGTATATTATTTGGAAATGTATGTTAAAAGCCACTTTGTTTTCCAGTGATGGGCGCACTGTGGCTATCAAAAGGATTCACACAAAGACGTTCTCTCTGTCCAAAACCATCAGACAGGAAGTCAAGCAAGTCAGGTAAGATGCAAATACAAACGTATCCCCTTCATACTTCAAATACACAGCATGTTTCTGTCTTTATGTTTGTCTCCAGGGAGCTTGATCACCCCAACCTGTGTAAGTTTATCGGTGGCTGTGTTGAGGTGCCAAATGTTGCCATAGTGACAGAGTACTGCCCAAAAGGAAGCCTTAACGATGTCCTTCTTAACGAGGAGATCCCACTTAACTGGGGATTCAGGTACTCAGATAATCACACAGACTCTTACTTATGGTACAATGACATCTTGAGGTAATTAAGGCATAAGGCGACTACACATAAAGTGTTTTTCTTTGTAAGTTAATTGGTCACACACATTTCCAATTTATTTGGGGTTCTCATGAGGTCTGTTTAGATGCATGACTGTTTGTGCCTGCCAGGTTTTCCTTCGCCACAGACATCGCCAGAGGGATGTCGTACCTGCACCAACACAAGATCTGTCACGGCCGACTGAATTCTCTAAACTGTGTCTTAGACGACCGCTGGGTCTGCAAAATAACAGGTGATCTGAGCGTGCAGAAAGAATGTTCCTAAAAGTATTAAAACTATACATGTAAATAAAAAAAACCCAGTAAATACTTGTTAAACTTACCAGATATAAACTAGCTTTGAAAGTGAAAGTTTGCTTTATTCCTAATTTAGTGAAGATCATTTTCTATAACTGAAATCTCTTTCTGAATTGTTCTAATCTCCGTTTTTATTGTCATTTTAATTAAACCTAATTTTTGTCATCCTAAACTTGATCTGAAAAATAATCTAGAATGCAGCAAAAATTTTGATTATATATCTACAATTGTTTTTTTTTTACATATAATCTCCAATTAGATTACGGTCTGAGAACCTACCGCACGGGCGATGGGGCGGAGCCTCTTTCCACCTATCAGCAGAGGCTCTTGGAAGTGTACTTGCCGCCTGAGTTTCAGGACTCTAACACGGAGCCAACACTGGCAGGAGACGTGTTCAGGTCACAGAGTTAACTTTAAATTTCCTTCACTTACTCACCTCAGTTCCCCGAAGACTTCCATCTGCCTCCCTCACCTTTACCCTAAACCAAAGCAAAACTGTAGTTTTAGCTCAGTCTCCACAATGTGATGAATAAATATAGATCAGTTGACACTCTCTGTATGTAAATTTCCCAGTTATTCCATCATCCTGCTGGAGATTGCAACTCGCAGTGATCCGGTCCCTGTAAGTCAGTCTGAGTGTCCTTTCACTTCACTGTAACTGTGCTGCTTTCATGGTCTCCCTCAGTAAAATTC